ATGCTACTGACTTGTTATGACCTTCTTATTCCACAGGTTATGACTGTTGACTGGCACCTGTGGGATGGCACCATGCTTCTAAAGACACTAAAATAATACGTTGGTGAATTGTCAATACAGTATATCTAGTTTCTTCAGACTTCAGTCCTTATTACCTTACACCCTACAGATGTTGGACGCTGTCTATCATGGTGCACTAAGATTCATAACTGGCTGTAACTACCGTACCCATCATTGTACCCTGTATTCACTGGTTAACTGGTCATCATTAACTTCATGTAGTCTCTCCCACTGGTACATTTTCATCTTTAAATCACTTCTTGGTTTATTCCCTTCATACATCTTCTACATGTCACTTGGTCAGTGCAGGTACAACGTGCACTCGCAAAACATTATTACCTGTAGTGTCCCCTCAGTGATGACTGAACTTGGTAAAAAGGACCTTCTCCTACTCCGCTCCTGTTTCCTGGAATATCTTACAAAAAGACCTGAAGCTCTCGACTTTGACCTCTCTAAGGGATTTTAAACAAGTCAAGTCAGATTTATTTATAGAGCACATTTAAAACAGAAACTGTTACCAAAGTGCTTAACAAAAATATCACAACATCAAATAAAAAGTAGCAAGATATATTTACAGCACATGGAATAAAAATATAAAACAGAAAACATAATTAGAAACAATGAAATACTAAATCAGATCACCTTGTATCAAAAGTCAAGGAAATAACAAAAAAGCATAAGCTCAGTCAGAAACAATGAAATACTAAATCAGATCTGATGACCTTGTGTTAAATAGGAATAATAAAAAAGCATAAACACAATCAGCATCAATGAAAAACTAAATCCAAGTCCGACCACCCTGTGTTAAAGTAGCGTGGAATTGATGACCTAATCGACTCAACCTTTTCAACAAAATGCCTGACGAACTTATTACAGGTGTCAACAGAGGCCTCAATGGTGGCAGACTGTATACCTGAAGACTGAGACACTTTTAGAATGGTG